GCTGTCCGCTTGTCACTGAGGTGACGCGGCGGGCAGGCTCGGAGGGAAGTCTTCGGAGGTGGCTTAAGGAGACACCCTGCCGTTCCCTGCTGTCAGAAAGTGGCGTGATTGATAACGGGAGGCTGATCCGCTAGAATTGCTCCTTGTGCTGTGAAATGGAGCAGTGGCAGCACATAGGTGGCTTTAGTGTATCTTGTTAAGTACAGCCCATGCCTGGCACAAAGCTTGTTCAGTTACGTGAGGAGAAAGACGTAAAGCTTTTACCATTTTCAAGGCAAGAGTAGATCATCTCAGTAGTGTGATGCTTATCTGCAAAGAAGAGAAAGATCTGGGCAGAAATTAGCACATCTGCTCCTCTCATGTTGTGAATATGTTCCCAAGCATAGCTGGCTGTCCCATAAAATGGTACTGATGAGCTGCTCCACAAATGTGTAACTGGATCTACAGAACCTCAGTGGGGCTCAGCCGCTCTTCCTGCAGTTGGAATGCCATACAAGGAGTACTTTGGACTTGAGAAACATGGTTTTACTCCATGCAGCAGTGCGGTGCTGAAGCATCCCTGCCTAGAAACATCAGGCTTAAGAGTAATTCACAAATACGCAGCTCGGGTGCTAAAGCTGGAAAACTCAAATGTTTTCACAAAGGCTGGTAGGCAGTGCAAGGGGGTCAACCCAGTGGAAAATAACAATAATATTTAACATTTACATAAAGCTCTGTGTTTACAACACCCTGTGTTATGATCAGCTGTTCAATCTTCTGCCCTCTGAGCCAGTTCAGTAATGACTACCTCTGTGAGGAAACAGGATGAAGTTCTTGCTAGTTAAAAGACCTGCAATTAAATTACTACTACTATTCCTCTTAACCAGGCAGGCTCTATATAATGTAAGTAAATACTATTAAGGAAGTCCTTTTATCTCAACAAGTCACAGCTTGATTGTGGTTAAGGAGAGTTTTTATCACAAAATCATCATATGTTTGGGTTGTCTCTGTACAGCTACGGTGCAGGTCAGAAGAAGTAGAGTTGCACTCTTCCTCATTTCCTTCCCTTAGGAGTTTAATTTAGACTTTCCACAGCATTCCCTTAACTTCCTTTTATTTTAAAGATGGCTTCAGAAAACAAAAAGAGGTAGTAAGAGATGTCAGGTATTCTTACCCGTCTTCCTGCCACGATCTTATCTCTAAATTCATATAAACTGGCAAAGTAATTATAGACATTTATTTGAAAGCACATGGTTTCCCAGTCATAGAATGGTTTGGGTTGGAAAGGACCTTAAGATCATGTAGTGCCAGATGCCTCACGCCAGGTCATGTCACCCAAGGCTCTGTTCTATCCTGCCTCGAACACTGCCAGGGATTGAACATTTACCACTTCTTTGGGCAAACTGTGCCAGTGCCTCACCACTGTCACAGTAAAGAACTTTCTTATATCTAAACTGAACTTCCACTGTTGAAGTTGAAATCCATCACCCCTTGTCCTGTCACTACCGTCCCTAATGAAGAGTCCCTCCCCAGCATCCCTATAGCCCCCCTTCAGATACTGGAAGGCTGTTATGAGGTCTCCATGCAGCCTTCTCTTCTCCAGGTTGAACAGCCCCAACTTTCTGAGCCTATCTTCATACAGGAGGTGCTTCAGCCCCTCAGTCATCCTCGTGGCCTCCTCTGGACTTGCTCCAACAGCTGCATGTCCTTCTTATGCTGAGGACACCAGAACTGCACACAGACTCCATACATTAGGAATAGTATACACATACTAAATATACCAAGTATACTCGGATTAGAACATTTATAAACCTGGCAAGTAGAAACCACTGAAAATGCATAGGTTATAGAATGGAGAAACAGGCCATCTTTGGTTTGCCAAGACAAAAAGTTTGTCCCTACAAAGTATAAAGGTTATGTTCTATAACACCCCCCTTGTCCCCCCCCCCCCCCCCCCCGACTGGTAAAGGGTCCTGCAAAATCTCTCAGCAAAATCTCTCAGCATTACTGTGTTGCTTCCACTCTTCTTTATGTGTGCTTCTTGGTGGTTCTTCTGGTGTGAACAAATCTACTCTGATCTAATTGACAGCCAGCTGGCAGAGATCCTGATCCATGACTGGGGAGCCCAGGTATTGTTAAATATGACTAGAGGTGTGAAAGGAAAAACAGGCATTCTGGGTTACCTGGGGAAAAACCTCAGAATTTTCCAGTCTGAAATTACAGCTAGTTCATTTGTATGGATTTGGTCTGAAGAGCAAAGTAATACTACTTGAATACCAGTTTGCTGTAAAGAGCTTAGTGAGACTTGAAAACACATATATGAAAGAATATTAGCAAGTTTCTAATTACATGTTATAGCTTTTGTTGTTCTTGAGTAATTATTTAATTTTATAGGGTTTTGTCCTGGGTCTTTTACCTAAAACAATTTGAAGAATAGCTGGAAAATTAATAACTTATTGCTATAGTCATATGCAATCTCATCTACTGATCGTTGTTTATCCTCTAGTTCGTGGTCATTAACTTCCACAGCAGCCTCTGTGCTGTATCTGCTGTGTTTTATTCTAGCAACAAGGAAAAATCCAGTAGTATCTTTCAAAGTTATTTGCTCACTGGTATTAGGTGTTCAATATTTTTCTACATCAGTATACATTTTCTTCTTCAGGATAGAGCCTTTGTTATAAAGTGTCAAATATACTGTGACTGACTTTTGCACCTTTTTCCCAAGGATTTCACAGATAGATTAGCTGCCACCTACTTTGTTTGCTCCACGTACAAAATAATTCTCCAACATCTTTTTCATTTCGAGAGCAGCAGCTAGGATGTTTCTGGATGATTTTTCGATTTAGGAGGTAAATGCTTCAACTCAGAGTTATGTTCTTCACTTTTTCTTCTCAAACGTTACTTACTGCAGACTCTGGAAAGAAGACTGAACTCAGTGAAAAGCACGAGAGCACGAAATTACAAACAGTAATTGAACTCTGACACAAACCACTCTCATGGCTGAAGTTTATTTTCTATTGATTTTGAAGCTTGAGAAACATCTCTTATCACACAAACAGGCAACGGTCAAGACAGATTAGGAGGTGAGCTGTGTAGGGATGTCTCAGTAAATTCGGAATAATGGAACAATCAATCAGCTGCATTGATTTTGGATATTTTTAAACCCAGCTTAATGTATGGGATGCACTGATGATTTTGTTTTAAGCTGACACAGCTTGGAAGTGCTTACTGTGGAGGTCAATGCAGTGCTTCATGTCTTAGTTCAAAATAGTATCTGCTTACATTCCTTAACGCATCTTTATTTTGTATTTATTTGAAGTGCTACATTCAGACCTATCTAAAATCTTTTAATATCATGTCATATGGTCTTTTAATGAAGGAATGCTGAACACATACAAGCTACTTAGAAATTTCTTTCAAAATTTTGAAAAATTCTGTCAAAATTTTGAAAATATTTTGAGTATTTTTTTATTTTGCTACCTGATATGAATAGCCAGGTAGCAAAGTTCATATCAAGCCATTGTGTTGGTTTGGGCTGGGACAGAATTAATAGTCTTCACAGTTGCTGACGTGGGGCTCAGTTCTTCATTGGTAAAAAGTGTACTGTTATTTTTTAGTCTTTGTAAATGGTGTGATATCTGAAGTGCCTGGTCATAGTATGGCAGAAATAGATAAAGTTAATCTCTAACAAAACTGTGTGATTTTTTTTTGTCTTCTGTGAAGCATACCTTTACACAGAGTAGTATAAAGCTGCTCTGTGTAATGGTGTGCTTCACAGAAAAGTCCCTATAGTCCAGACTGGGACCAGCAGAAACCTGTAGGCACCAGTCAAATGCTGACCAGCTGAGTAACTGGGGATGCCTTGCTAGGTTTGCTGCAACTGGAGCTCACCTTGGCGTAGGAAGTGAGAGCAGCTTTCCTTCCAAGACGGAAAGCACAGTTTCCTCTGGCTCTCAGCTCTTGGTCTCAAGATATATGAGCCAGTGGCTCTGGCATATGTTATTCCAAATCTGGTTAAGAAAATCCCTGACGTGTATACTTGAGATACATTTTCAAAGTAATGTATGCCAATGCATTTGCCAAGGCAAGTTTTTAACAAAACAACTTATTTGAGATCTTTGCAACTGTATGTGTGCAGCTATGTTCTCAAATGGTAACTTCAGGACTGCAGTAATTGGTCTGTAGTGAAGCAGCAGAGCAAGTACCCTGGCAGGCCTTTGGGCAGAGCCAGATGTAAGGAAGAAGGTGGATTTTCAATATAAATAGGGCACGCTTCTGCCCTGAGTGACTCTGTTTTCATATTTGACTGTAGATGCTTCTAGAACAAATACTAAATGCTCAGGCCTATTGTGAGATTGTATAACATCATCTTGTGGGATATATCTGCAAAACCTGTGGACACTACGTAGGTGCTGCAGAAGAATATTCATTAGTAAGTCTCTGTAAGGGAATACAAGACAAAACCAGCAAGTTACACAGACATAAGAATGTAGCGAGACTGGGGATAAAGCCTGTCTAAAGGATTTGGGAGTATACTATTTGCTGGTACGTTGCATGAGCTCAGGTATGGGGATTCTTGTCTTAGCTGTGGTAGTGTATGGCTCTATAGGTGATGAAATAGTGTCTGTAAAATGCAGAATTAAAGTTAGAAGAGAATTTGAACTCCTTAACCCAACTGCAAATAATTTAGTATTCATTCTTCCAAGTCAGTTCTTGACTGCAGGTTTGACCTTTTGCATACTGGGCAGAATTGTGTATATTTTACTACAACACTGCAAATCAAACACTGAAGTAACCAGATTATGTTTATCTTTGAAGTGATATGGTTAAATCCCATGAAATTAATGAGAGTTTTTCCAGAGGTTTTAATTTCACAAATTTAATAACACTAGTAACCTTGTCTTGGCTTTAAAAAGAGATGGGTTGTTTTGTTTGTTTCCCTTATAGGAAACGCTACTAACAGAGACGCTTTTCATTTAGTTTTAAAACTGATTTAGCCCAATTTTAGTTTATACTTTTTTTTCTTTCTTTCTTTTTTTGCTTTCTAACTCTGTTTTAGGATTATCTTTATAAGATCCCGCTGCATTTACATGTATATTTTGTCCTGAAGTTTTATATCCCTTGTGTTAAAAATTCCTATGGTAATTTTCCTTCGTGTTCACCACAATCATCATCTGCTAAGTTGTCCACAGGTTGTCTTCAGCTGCTGTTCTTGCTGTAGGTGTTAGTGTTGATACACAACACTGATAGCTTTGAGTTAAGGATCACAACAGACGTAGGCCACTACTGGCATTCCTCTTGTTCCACGTTCTTGTATCTCTTTGACCTGCTTACCTGCCTTTCCACCTCAGTTCCAGTAAGTCATTTTATATTCTGCTCAGTGTTGCATCACAATTTCTTTTAATGGACTATTCTAGGCTGTTGTTCAGAGAGACAGCTAATGAACCCCTGTTTTGACAAGCCAGTGATTTGTAGTAGGTGACTATAGCAGCAGACCTGTGTTTGATAAGTAGTGGTGGGAAATAGACTACACACCCCAGTTTGGGCTTCATTTCAGAAATGGTCACTAGGCTATCCTAGGAGATTTCAGCAGTGAATTCACAGGTGCCCCTGCGGGATCAAAGTGTAGGAACAAGTATTTCACGCTAATACACACTTTTCTTTAGCCATATCTGTTACAGTGTTGGTTTTCCTAGAAAGATTAGCTTCTGTTAAGGGCAAAAGCCATTTCAGCAGTTATGCGGAAGTTTATTGCCTGTCTTCCATCCCAAAGTCCACATCATTATTGAGGGGGTGAAACGGTAAATACATAACCAAATGTAAATATGTAATAGTAGTGACCTAATGATTTTCAATAGGCATAGATGACCATTCATACAAATAGATGCCTTTTCTTTAGTGTGTGGTCAGAATCTGTAGAATTACATCATTCATAGATAGTAGGAAACCAAGATAGAGTTAAGTCATAACTTAGGATACTGATAATAGGCCTCTTCGTTGGGCAAAATGTGTCAGGGTTCAAAGCTACCAAAAATCAGTCTGTCCTTGTAACCCTTATTTTTTCCGTTGTTTGGATGGGGTTGTGTGAAAATCATGCACACACGCAGCTCCTGTTCTTTGGCAAACATTCACAATGAGGAGCAAATTGCTGAAGTCCTCTGTGGCAAAGTCCATGTTTTTCAGGTTTTGCCCTTTCTGTATTTTTGAGAAAGCTGAAGAATAGTCAGATTATACTTACCAGGTAGCAGCAATTCTGTCAGCAACTCATCAGTAGCCCTTGCCACTTTTGAATAAATACTTACAGACTTACGCAGCCAGAATTTTGGTCAATTTGTTTAGTTAATGGGGTGAATTTTGTTGGGCCACTTATGTTGTTAACGCTCACATTCACTGATGTGTGGTATTGTTGTCAGAGTCTACAAAATCTTCTTTTCATTGGCTGAAGAAATTCCACTACGGAACACAAACCCTTCTCACTGCTTAGCCACAGAAAGACAGCAGAGCCATTTGTTAAAATTTGTAAACTAGGGCCTTTATCACAAAGCAACTGGGCAACATTTTTCTTTTGACTTTGATTAATGAATTCTCTTTCTCTAATTCTGCAGGTACTCTGAGTATGGAGGGGCCAGATGAGGAGACTGAGCAAAGCCATTGCTACAGATAGCAAAGCAGTGTGTCTCATTCCTAGTGACATTGCTTTGGAGAAACACCAAATTCTACGAATTGCTGCAGGTACAACAGGAACAAGAGTTAAGAAACTCTGACAACTTAATGGCATGAGAAAAAAAAGAGGAAAGAAGGTGCTTGTTAGAAGGTAATGAATAGTTTCCAGCCTCTAAAGTTTATGTTCAGAGAGAGGTTCTATAAAGACTAATGACAAGGTCCCTGAGCAATAGCATGTAAGTATAGCACATAAAAATTATGACAATGCATTTACAGGCTTTATTTTCACAGATTTCACTTTAGCTTTAGTTTGCAGTTGGTATACCAAACTGTACTAGGTAGTTAAAAACCATCTTTTTGTTAGCTGACAGAAGGTTTGATAGCATTGTTCTTAAACATTCCCTTTTATATGTTTCTAATATTAATAAAGTTGTTTGTTTATTTAGACCCTGGTTGTCCACTTAGTCGTAAAGAAATGGCCGTTATGCCATAAGGGTTGAAAGATGAGTGACGCACCCAGTCTGTAAGATCAGAGAGAACAGCATCACATGATCACAGAAAAGTACACACCAAGGTTTATGTTTAATTTGACATGTAGTTAAAAAAACCCAACCAATCAATCAATCCTTATCCCTTGCAATCCATGCAATTAATCTGTTGCTATACAACTGTACAGATTTATAGTAACCTAACCTAAAGCTTGTTAAAATAGAAATACCACAGTCCTCTGTAAAGCCTCATGACATATGTTCATGGCATATTCTGGGGCATTTTTGTAGCCAAAACCCCCACCTTATATATTAACAGTAAATTGCACCCTATAATGGCCTCATCTGAATACGCAGTCTTCCTAATTTTAGCCCTCCTGATTTCTTGTGAAAGGTATGGATGCTTCGCAGAAGTGCAAGTCAGCTCAAAACAATTTACAGCAAAAATTTACAGGACCCAGACCTTGCCAGAATCCTCATTTTTGGTTTGTCAAGTAAAGGTGTATAATGGAGCATGCTACAAAATTGCTTAAACTGTCGTATGAAAATAAACGTTGTCTTGCCTTCCAAATGCATGTTCTACTTCAGCAGTGGCTAAGAACATAGCTGGTTTTTCTGTGCAGGCCTCATGTTTTCTGGTACTTGCTTCTAAAATAAAATCAAGTAATAGAGGTTTTCCAAAGTATGCTAACAACTTATAAGCCAACACAAGCAATGCCACTGATTCTGAATAAAGTTCCAGTTTGTCTAGTATCTTGTCAGTGCCTGCCACTGTTTCTGTTGTAGTGTTCCTGATGTAGGCGTGACCAAATTCCTGAAGACATTCAGAATTAGAGTTATATTTCTTCTGGTTAATGCAGGCATGAAAACTTTTGGGAAGACAAATTGTAGGCCCAACTTTTTTTGTGAGGGGAGTACTCCCTATGCTAGGTTATGAAGGCAAGCCTTACATATGAAGAGACAGTCATATCCTTTTGGGAGCAATCAGGATCCTGCAATGAGAGGAATGTAATTATTTTGCATATAATAAATACATTAAGTATTTAATTACTTGAAGGACTACTGGAAAGAAGAAGAATGTAATTTTTGTGTTATAGTTATGTTTTCTTGACCATACACATAATTCTGAAAATAGTTGGAGTTTCTAATTCACTTAAAAAAAATTAATTCACATAAAAAAGCAGGTTTGAACCTGTTAAGCAGGCAGGTGTAACTGTTACTGAAATACCCCACAAAAGATGAACCAGGTCCTTTATATTTTACAGGAAGCATTTTCCTGAAGGGTAATATTAACTAGTTTTCTCATTCCAATTCATCTTTTATTCATTAAATTTAGAAGGATGCAAACCTTTATTCTCTATTGCCAGAAAAAGAGAAGGCACCTAAAAAACCAAAATGCTGCGTAAGCAAAACACTCCAGTGCATGTGTTTTACATCCCTCACCTTGGAAGAGACAGATCTAAACCCACCAAACATATGGTAGATGATAACAACATTACTCACATCACAGGTGCAGCTACAGCCATCAGTACATCAGTCAAACCAGGTGCAGCTACACTGGGATGACAGAGCTGCTCACTCACATATCTGCTATTGTATCATACAGACAGGATCATGCTGGCCAAGTCTGCCTGTACCACCAAAGAGAGGGAGGTTGAGTGGGAAGGGACTGAAGTCTTTTCAAGCTTGCCATCCTGTTAAATACACACTTTCCATAATACATTCCTGGCGATTGTTTTGCCAACAACCTTAGCAACAGATGGGATAGACTAGACCACCTTGCAAATCCTTCATATTTAAACCCTTTCAAAAGTAAGTGTGTAATGCTAACAAAACAAAGTAGGAGCTCTTGACATGTATTTTGCACTCAGCTAGCCAGTGTATGATCAAATGAAAGAAGACACTGGAAAAGCAGGCTTAGTGTGTAAGTATCCATATTTTATCTCTTTCCACCCCATCTTCTCCTTTTCATTTTGAATAATGATGAGAACTAGGTGAACATTGAATAAGAAATTCATGTTCCAAAGAAGCAGTACAATATTACAATTTAAAAATCAAGTTGTTGGAGTTGGAAGCTGGAGGGGCTTTAGACAGAAACAGCCTGGAGAAAGTCAGAAAGAGAGGAAGGCTGTCTTTAACCCAGGTAAGGATTTGGGAACTTTCCTGTTAAAATCTAAGTTCAACTCAGTCTTGCAGAAGTAGACTTGGAAATGAAACTTTTCCTTCAGTGGTGACAGCAACCATATACTTCCAGTAATTTGCGCTGAATAGGGTTTCAACTGTGCAGGCAAGCAAGGTAAGAGTTCTGACACAACAGAAAGCTTCGGCAGGGCTATCACCTCTTGAAAATCAGAGTAGCCCATTTTCTCTATTCCAGTGCTGTCAGTGGCTGCAAAGAGGTGCAAAATAACGCAAAAATACCAATAGTGCACATGAGTGGATTTCCAGTGGTGCAGACATACTGCCAGTCCAACATCATTTTTATGGAGGGGTATTGCAGACTCTTTTGCAGTAAGGTAATTTCTGCTTCGACCATGAAGGTACAAAATCATGCATGCCAGTGTTACGAAAGAGACATATTGTCTGGGGATCATGTTTGTCCCTGTTTGGAGAACTGCTGTATTGCTGTAGACTCACTCCACGCAAGTACTGGTCAGAGAGATTTCAACAAACCTGTACTCTTTATTTGTGCCTATAATAAAGTAGTAAAAATCAATTAATATGCAGAAAAAAAATGAAGCAATATAAGGCTGTGATCCTGCATTAACTGGTATAAAATCTGTGCATGCCGGATTTCCTGGCAGGAAAAATTTGCTCTGTATTGGCATGAGCACATGACTGCATTTTTATCAAATCAGCCAGAGCATATGTTACAGTGTTCATTCAGACGTTATGCTGGCTTTCTGTCAGTTGAAGAGTATAAATTATGCCTGATCCAGCATAAAGTCACGCCTGCAAATAGACAATATCTCATCTGATAGAAACTCTCCTGAGATTAAATGATTTCTTCCAGCTATTTACAATCTCACAGAATGATAGCCTACCACCCTAATATGCTGTAAACCCTGCATCATCCTTAGACAAATCTCTTTCAAATCAGAGCATGCCTGTATCTGATTAGCTGTAAATAGACTGACAATTTTTTCCTCAGAGGGAAAGAAGGGGAGAGTTGCAAAGTCAAATTATATTTTACACCTTAGGCAAATACAAAAATGTTCCAGAATATGATTTTTATAGAAATCTCAAGTGTACTCATCTTTACTATATCTTTAAATATAAATAATGAGATGGGAAAAAATTAGTTGTAATGATTATTTGTAACATAATTCTGGAAAGTATGAGGTTATGTTTTGGCCCATATTATGAAAGAAAAAGGAATTGATTTTGTGCTTCCTGACATGTTGCTTCTTTTTAATATGCAGCTGTTGTGTCATATTATGGATCCTTGGCATTTCATTGTGAAGAGATCATGACACTAGTTACTGGAGGTGAAGGCAATGAACAAGAACATTACAGTGTGAACCAGATCTTTTGAGATCTCTCGAGTCAAAGGGCCTAATCCATCCGCAGGCGCATACAGGTTTTAGTGACTTGGATATAAAATGGGCTGAGGTTATTTAAGATTTTATTGGGGTTTTGTTAATTGTCATTTAAATTCCATTAGAATTTATAAATTTACTTTTGCCACTGCAGTGTTGTCTGTCTTTGCCCAGGGATTGTAACTGTCTGCAAGTCAACATTCAGTGACAGAACTGCTTAACATTGTCCAGGCAAGCCTGGCTCCTTGCTTCTGCACCTGCACTGCAGTCTTTACTACACTAGCATGATTGTTTTGGGGGCATAGTGGGCTAGCCCGTGATTTAACTGGAGTAGGGATTATGAAAACTGGTACTGCCAATGACCGTTTTTATCTTTTCCTCCGAACTACATGGTGTATGAAATTAAATGGAACCAGGAGCTTAGAGGAGACCTGACAAAAGGGTATGGTGGTGTGGGATAAACTGAAAGAAGGATTATTCCTGACAAACTCACGGCAAGAGCATGCCTGTACCTCCATTCCAGGGAATAAGTTAAAATAGAAGAAGTTGTCCTGAAGAAAAAAGTTATCCTGAAGCAGATTGAATCATATGAATACAGAAATACTTTTGAAAAGTACAGCATGTACTGAAGCCTGTAAGTCAGCTTTTTTCTGGTATGACTACATCTATATACCACTGTGCTGGTATAACAGTGTTAATATAAATGTTCTCCTAACTGACAGAGTTATGCTAATAAAACTTTTACAGGTACAAGACCCTTAAAATTGGAATCATCAATAAATAGCGTACCCATCTAATGTAAAAATTGCACACCCCACATTCAACAAGAATTCCTATAATGCAGATCTTAGTTTAGAGTTTGTAGAGCTGTGATGCTACTAAGCTAGCACTGTAGGAGAATGAAGAAGTTCCTCTTTAGAAGCTGAAGAGCCATTCCATTTCTCTTGATACATTTTGATGAACATTCCCAAATCATTCTCAGCACAGCTGAAACATCTTTAGCATTCTTCTACTCTTTCTTCTTCCGCTACCACCTCTTGAAAGCTTATGTTTGTTCTCAGAAGGGGGCCAGATTGTACTGAGAGATTGGTATTTTTAATAAAAGTTTCCTGTGGAGGAATAACCTAGACTCTTGGCAGCATACCACTATTCAATTCATACAAAGCACTCAGCATTTACTCTGGACACAGGCTTGGTCTCATTACCAGTGTGATATGATCTGTACTAGCAGTGCTGTTCTAACTGCAATGCTTCTATAGCCATGTCTGCAAAGGATCTTTGATGCATAGAAACTTGATCCCTCAGATGTGGATGTAGTCCTATGTTCCTTCTCCTTCTCTCCTTCCCTCTTACCTTCCTCCCAGAATCCCTATTAGTGGCTGGTCTGTCAAAGAAATACTCTGGCTTGTAAGCTGCACTGTAGAAGAATTTATAAGGAGCATTGCTCTCAACGTTGCAGAATATTGGTGTAAATATGATGTTGGGTGCACGTGGTGTTTATTTTCATTCCTGCAATTTGGTATTCTTAACATGTCATGTGGATAGGTTTTCTGATGTGGGTTAACTTTTGTGAATGCTGCTTACCTCTGTTTAAGTTGCTGTCATCCTTACATGCTCCAAAAAGAACGTTGCTTTCACAGTAGTATTCCAGGAAGCTACAAACTTTTTTCCCTCTTTCATTCAAAGTTCCCTCTTCAGCCGTCTATGCAACTGCCTATTTCTAACATGCACTTAAAACATGACCTGCAAGAGCCAGCTCATTTCCTGGTAGTTTCTGTAGCGCACTAGCCACTATTCTTTGCGCTCCCATGCCAGTCATATCCGTCTCCTGAGAACATGCCCCATTATCAAAACATGTATGAGTAAGAATGTTTTGATCATACAAGAAATAATTCATCATTATACAGCAAAGTCTATAAAACCGTAAGGTGCATTTCTGAAGCAGTAAAAACCTAATTAACCTTTTTTAGATATAAATCTAGAAAAACCTCAAACCCTTAAACTGTGTTAGTAAGGCAAAATGCATAGAAATCTTTTACACAACACACTTTATAATGATATGCAATTATTATAATTGGTAGGTTGTTAACTCCCAGTGTGATTAAGTCTCATTGCACAGCAATGATAGTGGCACACCTGACTTAGGATTTGCCCACAGATGATACAAAAATAAATTCCCCAAAATGAAAAATGAAATTTTTTGAGTGACCTTATGAAATACTTTAAGAAAGGAGAAGGTCCAGAGAGAAAGAAGAGCTTGGGGAAATAGGTAAGTGGTAAAAAAATATGCTGAGAGTTTGCTTTAATTGGGAATAATCCTGAGCATTACCCAGTTTCAACCAAGATGCCTTTTGTGCTTAGAGCCTCATCAGTCATGCACATGGTGCTCCTTGGTCACAGAATAATTTAGTTTGGAGGGATCCTGGAGGTCACTTGGTCTAACCTTGGTTTGGAGCAGGGCCATTTGAAATCAGGTTGATCAGGGCCTTGTCCTGCTGAGTTCTGAATACCTTCAAGGATAGAGAGTCACTAGATCCCCTTTGCAATGATTTTTTTTTTTTTCCACAATTGCTATTCTATCTGTCCTACAGTTCATCTATCCTACTATATGATTCATGACCAGGATCATTTTAGGAAGTAATTTTGCATTGTTAGAATCTGCTGCTCTTGTCCCTTCTTCCAGTCTTGGACTCTGATGTTAGGGGAGCACAAAGGGCAGGAAATCACAAATCAGGAGACCAAGTTAGTCTGGGAAGCTTCTGGTTCTTACAGCCAGAGAGGATTTTGAACAGTGCCTTGGACATGGTCTTAGCATGACATCCACTGAACTGTACTGGAGAGTATCTTTTGCTAGTTAGTCAGATGGGTCAAGGTTTGCATGTGTATTTTAGTGGTTCTCAAGTCTGTTATATTTTACTTTAATTTTCACGAAGGCTGAGGATCTGCAATTGGGTACTAAGAACACTGCTGTTTCTCCAGTCCCTGCTCTGCTCCCAGAATGGCAGGCAGATTCCCTCACAAACACTGGGAAAGGATTACTGGTGCCTCAACTTACTGCAGTACATGAAGTTATAGACTGCAGCCCTGGAACTGGCCAATGCACACGCAGGTACACAGTGCCAAGACAGCATAGTGAAGGTATTGTTCCATGCACGCTTTTTCCAGCAGCAGCCTGTTTTAAGGCATTCCCAGGACCCGCCTCAACTGACAGCTGCTTGTTGCTGATGCCCTTTCAGTTTTGCCAACACAGCTGTTTATGTGTGTGTTTGGGAACTGAATTGTAAGACTAACTCAGGTTAAACTACCTAACAATGCATTTTCTTTTTTTTTTTTTTTTTGCATACCTTTTTTTTAATACCTGTTTAATTCCCCAGGCTTGATTCGCAGTGTGGCCTTGCAGACACTTACGTTGACCAAAGTCATATAGCTGTCTAGAGAACAGGAAAGGAAATAAAAATAGTTGGAAGTATCTTAAGTCAGTATTGCTGCCACAGGCAATGTGTCTTCAGACTTACAGCTTTGTGGTGTTGCTGACAGCTGAGCTGAGCTGAGCTGCTGCAGTTGCTCAGTGTCCAGTGCCTGTTCTGTAGTCAACCCCAGCAATGAGTATACTCATATCAGTTTGCTCATCAGCAGTGATAAACTAAGGTTAAATTGAAAGAACCTAGTTGCCAACTCTGCACTTCAGATACCTACTGACTTGAGGACTAATAATCTTGCAGCATCTCTGTCAATTTGCATGGTCTCCACAGTTCAGTAGAAAAGAGTTTACAGAGTGGCATTGAATGAAGTGTACTTTTACCATGCACTTAATCCAGAGTAACAACGGGCAGCCAAGCAGAAATAGCTGACTCTACTCTTCCCCTAGACTTGTGTGCATCAAGTGCCAGCACTTCTTCTCTTGTACCACATCAGATAGTCATGCAATGCAGGAAGAGTCAGTTCCCTTTGAGAATATGATAGATAACTGATAATGTTTGAGTTTTTTTTTTGTGGGAACAATGGTCTAAATTGAAGGGACTAGGAAAAGCAGAGGTAATGAGCTAAAGTGAGGGTATTGCTATAGAAACACTTGAAAAAAACACTTGAAAGAAACACTTATGTTTCTCATAACCTTGTGAAGTTTTTTAAAAGCAATTCCTTGCTCTTTGCTAACCCAGTATTGCTGAATTTACAAAGCAACTCTCTTTGGACTTGTGGAATAGGAAATGAATTACCAGTGCATTTAAAACTGACATTCTCATTTAAATTTTTATGTTAATTTTAGTCTGCCACTGATGTCACACAAGTGTACAGCAGGAATCATTTTACTGAAATTACAAACACTGCATGTCCCTTGTAAAGGAATTTCTACCTGCATAAAATAGATATAAAATGTCACTAAATCAAGTCAGCATTTTATACC